TTCACATTCCACGAGATGGTGTGAGCTTTTTCATCGGTTTTGCGCTTGTTTGAGTCCCATTTTTGTCAAGAAAATGCATTTTTTAATAGTGTAATGATGTGAAATGTGTTGTTAAAAAAAGGAAAAGTTTTAGATTTTCATATAATATTGTTTTATTGAATAATGTGTGGTTGAAATGATATCAAAATACTATTTAATAATGTATTTTTTTTAAAAAAAATGGGGCTCAAACAAGAGCAAATGTGTTGGGACTATGTAGAAAAACGACACGTCATCGAAGTCACATGCTACATGTATAGGGTATTAATAGTTCCTAGATAGTTTTGATGATAGGGTAAGTTTAGGATCAAATTATCATTAGTTAAATATACGGACTTTATATATATATATATAGGGCCTTCAGTAAAGATGTATTACTTGAATATTAATCAAATATAAAGAATTTTATTGTTTCGTTATGTTCCGTCTTAAATGTACTTATTAGTTATCAAATTAAGCCTTTATTTATTTCACATTCAAATTGTAGAATTTATTTTCGCATCACATCATGAGTCCCACCATTTACGTTATTGATTTGAAAACCTATAATTATCATTTTTGTAATTCCTTTTATGCCCACTCTTTTGTGCAATAGCGAGGAGAGTGGTAAAAAGTAGTGTTTTTGGAGAGAAGGGCATGATAGGGAAAGTGAAGAGGAAAGCAATAAATGCTACCGTAAAATGTCATGTTAATGTCAGATGAATGTAATAAAAAAATGGGTATGTGAAAAAGCACCTGTCCAATTTCTTCTATTTAGGAACAAAAAATGGGAACAAACAAGCCCAAATCATAGTTAGTTTAACCTAATTTTTCATTAATAGAAATGTGTCATTTGTCTTTTCCTTTTGTAATAAAAAATTAAAAAAAAAAAAAGTTTGAACCCCAACCTTGAGGGTCCTCACCGCCCCGTCCCTAGAACTTTGTGAGGGAGGTAAATCGCGAAATGTGCCCCAGTTGTCTTTTCCTTTTGTAGCAAGAACTGTGATATTGCATAACATATATAATTTGTTAAAGTAACGATCTTGATGTTGAAAAACAATTGTCCAAGGTGTTTATTAAATTATCAAAATTCAACCAAAAGACGACCAAGAAATAAATAACAAAAGCTCGAAAAAAAATACCAAAAGCTTGATAGTTAAACAACTTTAATACCCCCGAATTAATTAAATAAATATGTAATTTTCCTACTTGTAATCAAACGCACCCTTAGTGTTCTTTTCACCACTTCTAAATAAAAATGTAAGGAAGTTATTTTATGTTTTCTGAACGTTGTCATATCAATAGGTAATGTGGTTAACTTCTTCCGAAATCCTAGTTCGTGTTTCTTACATCCCTGGCCTCATACTGCCCAAATGAAGGACGTGGCCATTTTATGGCTACATGTGTAGGGTACTGAATATTTTGAGATGGTTTGATGAAGGGTCAATAAATTATCGTATTTGTTATTGATTTTAAGAAATTGTAACTTGATACAATATAGTGGGAATTGAAAGAAACGAATGGAAAAAAAAAATCAAAGTTTGAGGATCAAATTTTAAATTCAATAGTTGATTTGAACTATAAAATAATGATTGAAGATCATAGGGATCAGTTGGATGATAATACAACATGAGGGATGGAAATTGCATGAAAAATGACCAAAAACACCCCAGAGGTGGCCGTTAGTCCTAAAATGCTAAAGCTAGAGGCGTGCGCATGAGGCAATTGCCTTGCGCATGCAAAGTGATAAGTGTATTTTATATATTTATTTGGGCCGTTAAATGAGATTAATTGTAATCAAGATTATTTTGATTATTTATGACTTAATTAGATGTTAATTTTATTTATTAGGTAAAACTCGAGGCAAATTGATGGAATTAGAAGAAATAAACAAAACATAGGAGCAAAAATGAAAGAAATTCAAAGTTCAGTGACCAAAGTGTAAATACTCAATAGTTGATTTGGACTATGAAATGATTATTGAATATCACATATGATCAATTGGAGGTCAAAATAAGTGAAATATAGCATAATTATTCTCACAAATCAATTCCCAACTAGAAAAGTCATACTTCGGATTTTTAGCCTCAACTTAAGATCCATTTTTCAGATAGCAAACATTCGACTTTGAGAATTTGTATTTCTAAAAGAATTATATCCCTTGGAGTTATCTTTTAAATATATTTTGGATCACCTCAATCAGATACCGAGAAAGAAAATTATGACCAAAATACTAAAGGCTGCTCAAGGACGACGCGAAGCAAACCAGCGCGCTAACCATTTTGGTGTGCACGCAAGACATCAATTTCATGATCCTCGAGCAAGTCAACATGCCTGTGCTAGTGGTAGATATACCTATGCATGTGCCCGAGCCAAATTTCTTTCTTGATTCAAACTCTTATTCGTAACAACTTTGGGACGATTTTTTTTTATCTAAATTCGACCTCTAAAAATACAAAACTCGGGAGAACACGTGAGAGAACTCTCTTGCATTTTTATACACAATAATATCATCAAATTTGTCGAGTACAAAGAGGTTAGTTCATTATTTTTAGGAGAGAATCAAGCCCTAGTAAAAGCTGAAGGTCAATTACATCAAAAAAATTAAAGAATTCAACTTTAGACTTGAAGATCAACCTTTTTTGTATTCATTCATGATTCTAGTAATATTTTTTCATTATTCTTCTTATAATTTTGTTAAATCTATGCTAGGATAGATTTATTTTTTATATTGGATGAGATGAATCATATTGTTTATTTGTTTGAAATTCAAGACTAACAGTTTAGTTTAATTCTTGTGTTTCTTAATTAATTTTACATATCCATTGCCTTGTTTAATTGATTAGCCACAAATAGACAATTAGTTGCTTGTTTATTGTTAGAGACTCACAATAAGTCTAAAACGCACAAAATTAACATATTTGTAATAGATGTTAAAAATAATATTTATCACTTGTGCAATTATATAAATAATCTAAAATTCAAAGCGTTCTAAGTTTCTAACGATTCGAATTAAGGCTAGGAATAAATTCGAGTCATGGTTATAATAGAATTAATTTGTCTTAAGAATGAAAATTAAATACATTAGTTTTATCCATTGTAAAGAATGCGTGAACAAAACTAGATTACAAATCAAGAATTAAAATAGATAAAAACATGTGGATTCTAAATCCTATATAATCATCCATAACCTGATAAAAACCAAACTTTTATTACTATCTTAGATTAATTTAGCAAAAATCTAATCCAAATCTCTCTTTTGTTTTACATAATTCAAATTACATACATCACTAGTAAATTTGAATTAAAATTTATTTCATGTGTGACAATACTCTCAACTCACTAAATCTATTATTGTCAACGATCTCGTACGATCGCGAGTTTCGCATGAACACAATGACCTATTTTTTACAATCCAAAAGCAAAACGCTTCCTCCATGCGCACGTGATAAGGATACTCATAGACATTTTTGGCAGATGGGACTACCTTACTTCTTTGATACGAAATCTTTTGAAACACCCCCATTTGGCCCCCATTTTCTAGAAATGAAAATAGGTGAAATAATATTTTTTTGAAAAATGAGTGGTTGAAAAATAGAGAAATTTTTTCGATTTACTTGTAATATTATTTTATGGAAGATTTTGTGGTTGAAAATAAGAGAGAGAAAAATAAAATTTAATGGGAACCAAACGGGGGCAAGTTTTGGGGCACTTCCTAACCTAAATTCGATGACTATTAAATACAAAATAAAGGCTAAACATTAGGGAGGACTCTTTAGCCTCTTAATCCATATTCATTTCATAATACCATTGAAGAACAATAAGCCAGTTCATATATTTTGGGGAGAGAAGATCAATATGACAAGAAATTAAGGCTAATTATTACATCAAGAACTTGAAAATTTCAAGTTTGAAATTGGATATCAAGATCTATTGCATTTGTTCATGTTCCAAGTTATATCTATTGACTATTCTTCTTACAATATAATAGAAATCAAGCTAGGCTAAATTTTCCTTTGTATTGAATAAAGATGAACCCTTTGATTATTTATTTTTAATTTAAAGAAGTAATTTAGTAATTCTTGTGTTTTTTTATTAATCTTGCATGTCTCGTTGTATTATTTAAATTTTTGTGCGCCATTTATATTATTAATTGCTTGTTTAGTGTTAGGAGGCTCATAATATGTTTAAAATATCGTATTATTAACATACGGACAATAGATATTAAGGATAGCATGTATGGCGTGTGCAATCCTATTAATAATTGTAATTGAATACATTACTTTGCGGATGATTCTGACTAAGAATATAATAAGGTTGTGCTTAGAATATAGTTAATTTATCTTGAAAAAGAAAGTTTAATACAATTAGGATTATCGATTGTCATGAACGCATAAATAATAATAAACTATATAGTTGAAAATTGAAGATAGATAATAATGAGCGAATTCGTAAGTCCAATACAATCATCCATCTAAGTTTATAAATCAACGCTTTTGCATAACTCGTAGAATAAATTATAAAAAACAATCTCTTTCGTGTTACATACTTCGAATTTGATAGAGGAATATTACACTTTAATTAGAATTTATTCTCTGTGAAACAATAATTCCTTTCATCACGTATCACTTCTCAATGATTCTATATGCTTGTAAAATTTATCCGATCAAAGGGCCTTATTATGAGACTAATTTTTGGCCCGTGCGATGTTAATGTTTACGTGTATGGAAACAGGCTTGGCAAAATGTATTTAACAAAATAAAAATTGATATACTTCTGCGTGTTGGACCAGTTTGTGTGTCAAATTGATAACATTACTAAGTGAAGGGGTTAGACAGGAAAAAAGTGAGCAATAAAATTAGAAAATTGTAGTGATGGTCCCTAGACTATGAATTTCGTGCAAATTGGTTTTCAATGTTTCCATGTTTTGGGATGATTCCAGTCTAATTGAAAATTTAAGGACTGAATCCACCATAAATATGAAAAGGTAAGGATGTATGTGTCAAGATTTAAATATAAGGGATACTTTTGCAATATATACATTTTTGCCCAACAAAATCTCAACTTACCAGCACACAGAAAGGATTTTTCAGGGTAAACCTCTGCACTCTCCGGCGCCGGCAATTACTTTACTGATGATGTCATCCGGCACCGGTGAGTGTGCACAAACGCTCGTGTTACCGTTCTATTATCTCCTTCTCTCTCTCTCTCTCTCTCTCTCTCTCTCTTTTCAGTTATTGCCTTTATTTATGTGTCTATTATATTCTTTTGATTATAGAATTTACCCTTTTTCACATGCTAATTATCTAAATTATAAAGAAATCTCAGTTTAATGTGTTCTGGCATTTTCTTTTTCCCATTTTCCCCTTTTAATTTTAGTAACTGGGTTTCTTCAAATAAGAATAGCAGTATTTCATTATTAAAGATCCAGAAGAAAGAAAAGGGATTTATGTAAAATGTTGATTTAGGATCATATGATTTCCATGAGCTGTTATCCAATGTAAATATGTCTTTTGCGGAAATTGTACCATTATACTTTACTATAACTCTTTGCTTCGTATATGTTAATATTTTTGTGAATGACAGTCAAGTATCATCTAATTAGAACATGATTCTTTGATAAAGTACCTGACTTGAAATTCCCTTAAAGAATGCACATTAATTGTGTCTACTAAGCTTCGATAAGCTTACTTTGAAGTAGGAGCTTAAACTCCTGTATTAAAATGAGCCTCCCAGGTTTCGAGAGGGGGAGGAGGCGGGGGGGGGGGGGGGGTTTAGGGTTTT